TATGCTTTCTGTGCTGCTAGGGTTTAGAGAATTAGATGGCTGGCAAGTATTTTTGAGATCCTATGCCCTTGGAAATATGTATGTTTCATAGGTGAAAGTGTGGGATCCAGGAACTGGCTTATTAAAATCTGCCTATTATCATAATTAACACAGTTTGCATGGCAGGATTTTGGCACGTCCTTTCTTGAGGCTCTTTGTTTTTATGGACTCATTCATTTAATGAGGCTGTGAAGGAATAACTGCTACAGATATGTCTGTTATTGCTGAGCAGCTTTAATGTTTTTCTCCCCTTGTCCTGGCAGCATCCTGTGCCCTAGCTGATGGCTGTTCATGTCCCTTACTTTGCAGTGCAGTTCTAACAGATGCTGGTACCTGCCTATTTACTTGGCACCCCAAAGTTGGATACAAGGGACCGGATCTTGTGTATTTTTTTATTTATTGGTGCTCTTTTATACCAGAGGGATGCAGTTGGAGGGGAGACTTGAAAAGTCCTTCCGACTCCGTGCTGGCTGAACTGCCATCATGCTGAGAGCTTGCCTGAGCGTGGTGTTTTATGACTAAAACCACACGGCCCTTTGGGAGCATGCTCTGCAAACTGCTCCAAAGGCAACAGGATGTTCCTGCGTTCCTGTGAACTGAGCCCCAGCTGGACAGTCCACAGCCTGCTCATGGGGCTGAGGCACTGCTCTGGGACTTGGGGAACTGCAGACTGCCAAGTCTGCTACTGGGCTGCTGCCACAGGCTTTGGTTTCTCTCCGTATAAAATGGGATATTTTACACACTGTTGTGAAATATTTACACATCTAGAAACGGTGTTCAAGCAGCCTGCACTGCAATTGCACAGCAGCTCTTATCCCAGCAGAAAGAGCCTGAAAGCAGAAGCAGGAAGCCTCTGGCTTGCTGGGCCAGTGGTAGGTTTGTGTTCATTACAGACCTCCCAGAATGCTGTTGCTGATGAGGAGGCTGAACTTGAATGGTTGTTTTATTTCAGAGGTGGTCATCCCAGACTTCGAGGGAATCCCTGCCACAACCCGTCTGTCAGTACAGGCTTTGGGACTTCCTGGAATAGCTCATAGCATATGAGTGTACCTAATCAGCAAAAGATTGTCTCCACACATTCGAGTGTGACAGCATCATGGGTTTCTGATAGTGTATATGGCTCCTGGAGGCAGTGAGCAACAGGCTGCTAGTTTTGCTTCATTACCAGAGGCCACATAGCCCTTTTTGTAATGCATGCTGCAGCCAGCACAGGTCTGTGTTTGAAACATAATTGTGGGGGATTGTGAGCATTGCTGAGAATGGAGTACCATAGCTGTGAGGCCCTCTGGACCGTGCCTGGTGAAGAACTATTGGCAAAGATGTGAACAGAATATCTTCTGAGAAGGGCAGCAGTGAGCCCATTTCTTTACTGCTCTCACTGTGGAGTTGGTGCGTAGTTGTGCATACAGAGTAGAACAATGTGAAGAGCAGACTCCCACCTATGTTCTTGTGTTTTGCAGTATTTTACATTTGGTTTGTTTAAAAAAAAAAAGAAAAGTTGATGCTTATGGGAGCAACCTGTGACAACCTGCTTCCCATGGTCATGCCAAGAGTATCCTTACTATCCTTCCTGGAGATATTCTCTGCCGCCTGCCACCAGGCATGGTTCAGTAGTCAGTAACTTGAAATAGCTGTGCAGGCATTCTGTCCTCCTTGTCCAGACCAAGCTGCTTGGAAGTGCATAAAGCATAGCATTCAGCTGCTGTCTCCATCCAGTGTTAGGTTCCCTGTGCCCTGGAGCACAGGCAGCTTAGGCCAGGAGTAGATCTAGATACCAGATCTGCCAGCAGGGGCAAGGTTGTGGATGCTCACTGATGTAAAGCTTTGGACGTTTTCCTTACACTGTTATGCATCAGATGAAAGTGTTGTTCCTTGCAGTGCTGATGCAGATGAGAGAATAGTGCTCCTGTCTGGAATGTGAAGGAGCAAGGGCTGCAAATCGGTTTCTTATTTGCCTACCTATTGGGCTGATAATGGGAGAAAATGTGTACTCCTATGCGCTTACTGCCTTTTAAGCTTCTGGGTACACTGCTGGGTCTCCCAGCTAGTGACTCCTGAACAGCAAGGATAAATTGTAATAGATATTATAACTTAACTAGAAAGAAATCAGGATTGAAACGTCAGCCTCTTCCAAAGAACACAGGTCCATCACTTCCATTCGACAGATCTCATACATGTCCTGCAAAATTCCCGTATCCTCTGTTCTTAAGGGATGGCTAACAGCTCTATTTAAAGCATCGTCAGTAGCTTTATCACCATCATTCTTAGACCTCTTGCTGAAGGGAAGCCCTTTTCTGCTGCATGTTGCTGTTGCTTGGCTGCCCCGTGCTTTGCTCCATGTGCTGCTTTTGAATTCACCTTAGGAGTGGGTGATGCTCAAGGTGAGACTTTGCTTTACTCTCTCACTCCGTGCAGCAGGGATGTGAGATGTGACTATGACTGTTCTGCCTACGCGTTTCCTTTCCCGAGCCAGTCAGTAGTGGAGAAAACTTGGGTCTCTCTTGTAACTGTACTGCTACTTTTAACACAAAGGACAGATTGTTAGTGTTTTGAACAGAATTATCTGTCGCAGTCCTCTCAAAAGAAGCATTTCTTCCCATTTCTGGTTGTGATGGGAAATGAAACTCATGCGAGGCAGATGCGGACAAAGCCTGCTGGTGAAAAGCTGGAGAGTGAAGTGAGGCCCTGGGCTGTGTTTCTTCAGGGGCCTGAGCTGCTCCAATTCCTTTGCTGCCTTGTGTGCTTGTGGCACAAAATGCTGCGGCACTGTATAGTACTGCACTGGAGGAAGTGGTTTCCTTTGCTAACTTTTGTCTTTTCTCTAATTTAATGCATTGTCAGGGTGCTGAAGTACCAATCTATCTGCTGGTCAGTTTCTGTGAAAATCCAGTGAAGGGGACAGAAAATTTGTTGTTGTTGTTTTTAATAAATGTATTTTAAATTATATATATTTAAATATATTTAAATATTTAAAAGGTCTGTCCCCTCCTCTAGGCTTTTACACGGAGTGAGCAGAAATAGGCACGTCCACAGGCCCTTTGCCCTATTGGCTGGCATTCCACTGGTATTGTGCAGCAGTGCTGTACCTTCCCTCTGCATCCTGTGCTGCCGGTGTGTGATCTGACTGTGAGCCTTGTGCTCCAGTGCCCCTTGGTCTGTGCATTATCATCCTCTTCACTGACTTGCTCTGTATACAGCTGCATGTGTGCTATATGTTCCAGCTCCAACATTAAAATGTTTGGTATTGCTCTTTTCTAAGTGCCTTGCTTGTTGTTCACATACATTGCTTCTTGCCATGAAGGCTGGGGACTGTGCTCAGTCGCACCTCAGCTTTCCTGTTCTGTTTGTGCCCCAGAGGTGGCCTGGTGATGGTAAGGAGGTGTGTGTCCAAGAATGAAACAGCCGCTATCTTTGGACGCTGTTCCAGCTGGGATTGACACAGGTATCCAGTTCAAGTGAATGATGTGTACAGTGATGCCGTGCTGTGCTAGTGGGGGGGCTGCAGCTGAGCTGGCTGTCCGCCCCTGTGCTGAGTCAGGGAGTCAGTGAGATACTGCCCCTGGCCCTGAGATAGGTCTGCACACTCTTCCCCCAGGACAGGAGCTGTGGGTCAATGTCATAAGAACATCCCTGGTGTATCAGTGGCTGCTTCCTGCAGGGAAAGCCATTCTAAGAAATTCAGAAAAGCAGATTCAGCGGAGAACTGGCAGCAGAATTCTGGCAGCAGAATCGTCCTGCTGTTGAGAAAGCGTTGAGGTGATGGTCTTTTCTCCTGCACCTGGGGAGATGCAAATGCATAGAGATGCTTTTTAAATGATCTGATGTTCTAACTAGGTATGGCTGTCTTACTAAAGTGCATATTTAGATAAGTTTTCCTGAATCTCAGAAATTTCAGATCTCAGACGGGCCAATAATGGCCTTTTTAGAACTCAAGAATGGCCAGGCCTGCTGTTCTTGGCTCTCAGCGTACCACCACTTTTTGTTAGGAATGATTTAAAGCTTGTGCTGTGAGTCCAAGTGTAAGGAGCAGCTAGCAGATGAGCTTGCAGTCAGCAAGAACAGCATTTATGCTCTTTTTCATAATCTCCACTGCCCCATCAAAAGTAAGGCTGGCCAAATCTTGTTTTCAGTCCACTCCAGGAATTTAACTGTGATGGTTAAATCAAGAACACAGTGACCTCAGGACGCCTTCAGCAGTCAGTGAAACAAAAATTAAATCTTGTTGAACAGCAAATTTCTGTTGCCTCTTGAGTTCTTGGGGTTAGTCTTAAGACTGTCTCTGTGAAGAGCTGTCTGCTGGCAGGGGTGAGAGGGGAGGGCTGTTTTGTAGGACAGCAAGCTGATGCCATTTCAAGGATAAAGCCTTGGCACCCACACTCTGCTGCAGGACTTTATTCTAATATACGCTACTTTTGTGTAAGCTGTTCTCTGAAGGAGCAGTGAGGGGCATAACCTCCCTCAGTAGTTGAAAGCTGTTCTGAATGTTTCAGGACAGGCAGATTCCATCGCAAGTATGAGTGTAATTGCGCTGTTCGAGTAAGAAGTATGGGAGACAAGAAAAAATGCGGTGTGTCCCAGGTAAAATGAACAAGCCGAAATTCTTGCTTCTAGAAAAGCCAGTGCTGCTGTTTTGTGAACAGTGTAATGACAACTGCTGTTGTGTGAGACCATGCAGTTCAGTTCTCCAGCATGAAAAGTGGCAAGAGAAAGGAAAGTGCCATTACCGCTCTTCAAGGGAGCAGAAGGGGTAAGCAGGAACAGGTGAGAGGCTGGAACTGTGAGATCATCGGTTTGTAAGGAGCAGCCACAGTGTCCCCTGGTCTGTGCTGTCCATGAACAGGCACAGCTGCAGAGGATGCATACAGCAGGGATGCACCCTGCCAGCCCTGGCTGCTGTTAGCACTCCTGCTGTAGGCAGGCAGCGGATGCTCCGCAGCCAGACACACACAGGCTCCTTCCTGTTCTGTATAAACAGGTACCATTTATGGTTTTATTTCATCATAACATACAGGTAATGCTCATGACACAATATGAGAAACTCACATCTCTCTGAACCATTTAAACACCTTCCATACACCAAAGATCATTATATTCATATTGAACATATACACATTCCCCCCTTACACCCTCCATTTCGCGTTCTGCCCTTCTAAAAACCATTTCCAGCATCATTCAGGTACAGTACACTACTGGAGAAGTGAAATAGGGCAGCACCCTGCACAGGATATTGATTTACGGCTTCCTCCTACAGGAACCTGTCCCCCAACACTCTGAGCCTACAGCTTTGATGCCTGCAGTAACTGCAGCACACTGGAAATCCCTAGGAGCCAGACATCCAAATTTCAGTCCCTCAGAAGGAGTCACCCACAAAAACTGAAGCATACCTATGTGCATGTGTAGAGAGACTAGGACTCTCTACACACTCATGGGAGCGTGGGGACACTCACATGAGAACACAAAACCCAGGAAAATTCTGTTCCTGCCTGCAGGGATTTATTTGCGCTTACCCCATTAAGTGATTTAAATCAAAGAAAGCCATGGATCTTTACTGAAATCGGCCTGAGAGGAGCACAACTAAATGGTTGTGTATATATACACGCTCAGTGTGTATATATGCTGGAAACAGTCATAATGTAATTGCTTTCACTCGTTATGTAAACACAGCCAAGTGGCAGTATGCTTAACAAGCAGCTCCAGCCTGACCTACTTCACAGCACAGCATCAGCTGCCCTTGCCTGCGCTGCCCTTCTTCTGGCACTTCACACACCTCACCAACACAGCCTCTAGGTTCAGCCCATCCTCTTGCTGCCTCTCTGTGTGTCTTTTGCACAATTTAGGATCAAGTTAATCAATGCTGTAGCTTTCAGTGCTATTTTATACAGTCCACTGTAGGAAACTGTCACATCCTAGCCACAAAACAAAGATGAGATTTTCTCTGCTTTTCAATATAGTAAGACCTGAGATTTGAGTCACAAACTAGCTAAACTTACAGTAAAAAAAAAAACAACACCCAAGCTGCTGACTTGAATTAGGGCTTCAGTTTGCCGCAGACAATTTTTTTTTAAAAGCTGTTGGCCAGGGGTAGTTTTTGTTACATGTGATTTACAGTTTTCAGCCGCCTGCACTGAAATTGGACAAAACAATATATTTCCCCCCACATCTGCGTTCTGTGGGGCCTCAGGGAAGCCCAAGCTAACACGTGTGCAGCTTCCATCCCAGCACCAGGGGGAAGACGGAGCTCTGCACTGCGCATCTGCTCCCACTCCTTGCCCACTGCCAGCTCGGCACAGCGCTGTGCATGCACAGCAGCAGCTGACATACCACAAGAATGGCACGCTGCAGGGGAAGCAGCTGGTTCTCTGTCAAAAACAACACAAGGAGGCCGTGCCTCATCTCCCATGAAACACCTCGCTGGCAGTGGGGAAAAAACACCTCCTCACCCTGGCACATTCTTGGTTGGTGGAGATCAGAAAACAGAACGCTGGCCCGTGGCAGAGAAACTAGAGGCAATTGCAGCCAAATTCTCATCAGCACACTGGGAAACCAGGACCCTAAGCTGGGACAGAGGACAGCAGCCAAAACTGAAGTTCCTTTGGATCTGCAAGTGCAGGAGGTTAGCAGGCTTTCCATTAAAGCTGTCTTCTCAAACTCTTGTTTCTTTCCCACTGCATTATGAGATGGGACTTTGGAGTTCCCCTTTCTGTTTTCCCTGGACACATGAACAGACCTCTTTCTCAAATGAAGTCAGCAAACCTGAAACGGGCATCTGCCTCAGAGTCCTCAGTCTGGGTGAAGATGGTGGGGGGGAAAAAAAACAAAACCATGAATCACTCTCATCCCACACGTAGACTGGAGCTGGGTATGAAAAACAGGCCCGTAAGGTAGCCCTCAGTTCAGAACAAAACCCCAGCCCACCGGAGCTTACAACTCCTTTTTTCTAGAGCCATCTATTGAATTGTTAATTGTCCAGAAGAGGGCTTTGTGGCATTGTACTAGCCACTTCTCTGTCATCTTAAGTGGTAACTGCTCCATTACAGCTTAGAAGCCAAACTGTCCCTCTCCCAGAAGCCAGCTTAATAGCAGAAATACAAACACTGCTTATTTTATGTTTCAAAAGAATGGGGGAAATGGCCACAAATACAGATCACTTGTCTTAAGAATTACTGCTAGGCCAACTGAAACACTTGTGCGTAGACAGCTTTAAAAAAAATCCAACGTGGCTAGTTGTTACTTGTTCACATTGCTTACCAACTGACTACCGGCATCCGGCAGCCATAAAGCCCTAGTTTGTTATATTTTTGAGGTACTGGTTTCTTCTCTGAAGCAGCTCTCTAGAAAATCACCTAAAGCCTATCCATTAGAACAATAGTTACACCAGTATTTACATTTGTCTGAATTGTCTTTTCAGACCAGCCTTGCTGCAACCAGTCCCTAGTTCCTTTGGAATCATTCCCAGCCTCCTTTCTCCTCAGGTCTCCTTCCAGAGGTTGGCTCAGCGTCAGAGCTAAGGTGCACTGGTGAGGACTTGGGGCTCGAGGAGGGGAGAATAAAACTAGCTTTGATGGGTAGGAGCGTGTTTCAGTGGAAGCAGAGAAATGGTCTGGTACCAAGAGAGTTTCCTTTCTGAAAACATTGAAAGGATGTGCAATCCATTGCATGTAATTGCTTCCTGTGTCAGGGAAAAATCTTTGAAATGTTCTGCCTTTCTCCAGGATGGGAGGAGAAGACCCCAATGGTAGGCTCAGTCTCCTCGTGAGGATGTTCTCTTGTTGCCTTGCTCTATCAATCTAGTCACTGTGCTCCCACCAAAGCTCCGTGTCTCCTCCCTCCCCCTTCTGCACAGGGTTTGTCCTTTTCAGACCTGCAGGGATCTGGAGGGGGAGCGCCTCCGCTACAGTCACACCAGTCCACCGCTCCTCAGGACACTTCAATGATTTCCATGCTGCCCGAAAAGCTCGACTGACTGCCCACCTTCCCCAGTTCTTCTCTGGATCTGTTGTCCGATATGATGCTTTCCCCAAACTCCATCTGGCAGCTTCTGCGTTTAAACTGCTTTTCAAAAGAACTCTCCTCGTGCCAGCTCCGCCTGGAGTCTCCGCGGTTGCCCTGCTTCGTCCTCCTGCGCACAGCACAGGCTTGCTCGCAGCCCGTGGGCAGCTGGCTGCAGCTGTAGGCAGAGTAGGCAGCACTGTTCCCATAGATGGCAGAGGCAGAGTAGAAATGTGAGGACTCGGCTGCAAAGTACCAGCTGTTGGTAAGGGATGGGGCCGATGTCTGAGGAGCCAAGATGTCCGAGTGCCAGCCTTTGAGGCCCAGCCCAGCCGCAGATTTCGCCAAGTGCTGCTGGCTGGTGGAGAGCCCAAACAAGAAGTTTGTTCGGTAGTTGTCTTCCATGCTCCCGCTCCGGTGCAGCGGGTACAGGAGCGCCCGCTGAGTCACTGCACCGCTGCTGGATCTCCCCACGTGCCGCTTGCTCTGGCTATCCAGCTGCCAGGCATTCTGGGGCTTCTTTGGAGGGTTTGCTTCCTCTTTATCAGGGCTGGCTTCTGGGGTCTGCTCTGAGACCTCCTGCACAGGGGAGAACTGACACAGCTTGCTGCTTCCCTCTAAAGCTGTTGCATGTTTATAGTACTCCAGGGTGTCTTCGGAAGAGGTGAAGCCCTGCACTGATGCAGTCACACAGCTGCTAGTGGCAGAGTAGGACACAGATTTGATATCCAGTGAAAAGGAGCGCTTCAGCCGGTTACTGTCTTCTACCTTATCTAGGGAGACGTGCAGCCCATTTATGCCCTGTACCAGTGGGCCGTCCTCCAGCGAGGGCAAGTGAGTGCATGGCACGTTGCCGGGGTCTGCGGGCTTCGGTTCTACGATCTCTGAGGTAGCAGTGATGCAGAGCTGACTCGTGGCGAGGCTGCTCTGCCCCCCCTCTGGCACCAGCACGTGCTCGCCGCTTTTCTCCAAGTGCAGAAGTTTCAGCTTGCTGATGTGTCCAGGCTGACTGCTCTGGTTCTTGATTTTTTTCTCAAAGTCCAAAAGCTGGCCCAGAAAGTTGAAGTTGGGAGAAATGGTCGGCCTTTTTTCTTTCACAAATCTGGAAAGAGAAGAACAAATTATTTTAAGAACTTGCTGCTCAGACTTGAAATTACACTTAGAGCACTCATCCTAAGGTTAGCAGCCTAATACTCGTCAGGATGCTTCGCCTGAGGTTCTGACAAGCATGGATAACTTAAGAATGGAAAAGAGACAGCTTTTATGCAATATAATGATGGATTCTCTCAACTCTTTATTACCTAAAGGCAGCTAAAGATGGAGGAAAGAAAGCTTTCAGTTTACCTCTTTATGGTGTCTACAGCAAGGGTTGAAGAAATCGTTTATTTTACTGTGTCATTGCTATTTTTGGTCTCTGGCTGAATCTAAGAGCTCCTCCAGTGTTGAGAACAGTGCCGAAGCAGAAAGCAGAGCACTTGTCCCCACTGTCTGAGTGGCTGGAATCCCATACTTCTTTCTCCTCTCTCTTTCATGTCATCAGTGCTTCCTGTCCCGTTTTACCTTTGTCAAGAGATTACTCTCATGAATGCTGACCTTGCACAGCAAATGCCAGTCACTTCTGCCATACTCTGATATTGACCACTGATATGATCATCAAAAAGGAAAATGAGCAAATGCAGCATTAAAAAATCATTCAGCCTGTGTTCGACAGTAAAGAGTAACAGCGTCACTGAATCCACGTAATAAGTATTCTCCAGTCCTGAAGGAAACAGCCTAACTCTCATACTTATGCAGTCATGCATTTTGAATATGAACAACCTGCAAGATATAACTTCAAAACATGTTCCTGAATCAGGACTGCAAATGAATGAAAAACTTCAGTATTGAAGTCACATTGTGTAATTCAGAATTAAATATGGCAGGAGACTTTGCCTGATTTGTAGTGCAGCTAAAAAAGTTTGTATTTTTACTGACTGTAAAAGAGGAGGCTGTCCAAATCCCTCTTTTTTTTTTTTTCCCTTCCCATTGCTGAGCGGTGAAGGTAGCAGATGACAGAAGAAGAGAGCTTGAATAGCTAAACCTACTGCAATCACACACATAACGAAGAAATTAAATATTATTAAAGGCAGCAAATCTCTCTGGTGACACATGCAAAAAGTGAGTGTGCAGTTTTTAAAAATGGCATGAGAAAAATTCTAAGGTGTACTCATGCGTATACATACATGGGGGCATAAATGCAAGCACACAACAATACAAAAAAGAAGGGGTTTGTGTTTTTTTTTGACGTTGCAACAACTTCAAGGACACCAAGTTTTTTGAACACAGCAGGCACTGTTATTTTTTGCTAATCATCTGAATAGGAGCGAATAGTCAAGCTGATGTTATGACCTGCAAGAGCAGATTGCACAAAGTGATGGTGGAAATTTCCACTATGAAGAGCAACCCCATTCCCTCAACTTTTCTCTCCTCCCACTCCAAAATATAAGACAGTTTTAACTTTAAAACTAGCTTTTTCTAACTTGAAAAAGGCATCAAGAAAGTCTCCTTGATCCCTTCTGCCAAGTTACAAGGCTTTGTAAAACTTGTCATTTCAAAACGCACGCTTTTTCTTATTGAAAAATATGCAAAATATTTAAATGGTGATGTTTGTTTCCCTTGCATAGTCCACTCTACAAAGCAAACAAAAGATGAAAATAGTGTCTTTCCTCAGGTCTTTCATTTCAAGTAACATTTAGCGTCACCTTGTATGTTTTTAGAAGTTCCAGACAAACATTTTATCTAATACCTTTCATTAAACCAGAAAAAGTACTTTCCTTTTAAGCTTTGCTAGCTAAAGATTCCAAACCAATAAGTGAAATGTGCTGCAGACCTTTCTCACTAAATCATATCAAAGGAAATACATTAAAATAAAGTCAAAGTTTCACAGTAGTTGTTCAGCATTTACAGTGCAAAGAAAAAAAAAGGTCAAGGATGTGTCATGGAAAGAACAAAGAAGCACTTCTTGTTCAGTGAAAGCTCACTGAGGTGTGCCTTTAAGAAGCGTTCAGTACTGTACAGCTCTCACCTCCAGACCTGCAGTCTGGGATCAGACCAGCTGCTCAGGGAATCAAGCTCATGCCTTGCACAGTAACCGTCTGCATCCAGCAGTGCATCTACAGTCTCTCGCTGTGTCCCTCTGAAGTTTCACCTCTGCTTCTTAACAAGCCAAACCTACTTCATCATACCTAACTAACCAAACAGTCAGTAAGCAGTGGCAGAAATCTTTCTGCAGATTGTTAAATGCTATGGGGGACATCTGCAGCTCTGGCACCTCTTACATGGAAGAGATGGCATTTCTTACATGCCAGAAGCAACTTAAAAGAACGTGTCCCATGAAAACTGTTCATCTTTCTGTTCCCATCTCTGTTTTTAGAGATAGTGCTAGCAAACACAACAGTGATTTGGAAGGTGCTCCTCTCAAGCTGCTCCAGCACAATTATTCAAACTGCTTCTGTGTGACGCATGTAATGGAGGTGCGTCAGCTCTGCCAATTAGCCTGCAAGGTCTGTCAAGAAGGAAGGCAGCATTTCCTGTGCTATGCAGAAACAAAAAGAAGTTTGTCAGCTGAAACAAAGAAGCTGTGGTAAACTGCAGTCAAGTCATGTGGAATGTAGTGTTCACAATACAAGTACAGAAATACTGTGATTTGAAGGTGGAAAAAGTGTGTAAGGGGGTTCCCTCAAGAATTCCCTAATCCCACATAGTGCTTATACCTGAAAATACTTTGTCCAAGAGTTTTTGTTGGAAATTAATAGCAACAAAGTTGCTTCTTAATTCATATGCATTTTACTTGCAGGCACTTCTTTGAGAGCATTGGCAAGTGCCAAACTGAAGTAAATAAATCCAGCCTAGCATTTGTCACAAACGGGATTATAAATATCCTCAGTTCTCATTCTTTCTCCATTTCATTCTCTCTTCAGCTTGCAAGACAGTGTTCTGTATGATATATCTGTGTATAGATAGGTACATATGCGGTTTAAATTTCATTTATTTGCCTACTCAGAGCAAAGGCCAACATCAGCACTTTGAATGAACATTCGGTGCACAATGTCTGCACACAACCACTCATTTGTTTATGGTGGAAGCCTACATTTAAAGCAAGAATGCCTACAGGCCAATGAGCTACATCATAAGGTAACATGCCTGCTTCTGCACTTGGTCGTTCAACCTTTTACCGCTTCAAAAACAGGCTGCCAGACACAAGAATTAGCATGAAGGGAAACTTTCTCCTTACCTGTAAGCTTCATCTAAGGACATATCCATTCTCTTCATGATGTATGCAATAGCGATTGTGGCAGAACGAGATATTCCAGCTAAGCAGTGCACTAACACACGGCCATTTGATGCTTTTGCTTTTTCTGCATACCAAAGAAATCAGCAGCATTATATTATGATGAAAACTTTGCAAGGAAAGCAATGTTATTTTGAAATTGTGCAGAACTTCCAAAAATGGCTGCCAATTACAGATTTCATGGAAGCTTTGAACAACAATTATTTATTTTCTCAATCGCTGCATTCGGTATAGAAAAAACACATGACTACACAGAGGAAATGCACTGCAGTTACAGCGTGCTGCATTTACTTTAACATGCACATAAACAACCCCCATCTAGATTTCTGGAAAAGCTGACTGTTCCATCACAAACACTTGCTTTTTGCTTGTATGTAAGATTAGAAACGACTTGGCCAGTTTATCTGTTAGCTTACTGCTCAAAGACAGGATCTGTATGTCTAATTTTGTAATTCACTCTCTGCAGGCATCTATCACGCATCTAGCAGGTTGCCAGAAAGCAAAGCTGTGCTCTTAAAAAGTGTCTTTGTTCTGTAAGTGCTGGAACACGCAGTGGCAGAATCTCCCTTCTTTGGTTACTTTGGTTCTGTGCTTATGAAGTGATGGTGATCGTATATGCAGATCCTTAGGGTATTTTCATACCACCCAGAAAGAATTCTGGTCTTCTCCAGCCAAAATTGGAGGCAGACACACAGAGTAATCCAGAAAGTGTTTTAGAGAGCCAATATAAAGTTTCTTCTCACCTATAAAATCAACCGATTTATCCAACCAAGGCAAAATCTTCTCACAAAAGCTGTCATTCACAGGCACTCTCAAAAAATGGGATTCTGGAATGAAATCGGGCTTTGGACAAGTATTACTGGCATTTAGTACATATCCAATATCATTCTGCTGGATCATCTCCTATGAAAGAGAAAGATTAAAAGCAGATCAGTCAAAAAATACCTTTGGAGCAGTACGAGGAAATCATGAACTCAAATGTACATAACAAGAAGGGGCACTGTTTTTTGAAAAAGATCACTGTTAAGCCTTTGACTATTCAGACAGCTTTTAATGAGACGTCCGGAATGTTCAAGTAGCCTAGGAACTGCAAATTTTAGAAGAACAAAATTAATAACAGAAACAATGGCAGAATACCATCTGTTCCTAGGAAGCATCACTTCCAAGAGAATCAGTTTGGTTTTTTTGCTACTTTGGTTTAAATTCTCACCCTGCACGATGACAACATAATCAAACATTTCCCATGTGCAGTTTGCTGACCTGAATACATATGTTGAGGATCACTTATCCCAGATGAGATTATCCCATCACAGATAATAAGAAATGTGAAATGAAACTGATGCTTCCTGCAGTCACCTCTTCAAGTACCTAAGGCTTCTTTATTTCAAAGGCAAGGTGTGAAATTCATTCAAAACCAAGACCTTGAAGTAGGCTGCTTCTGTGCAGCACTAACTGCAGTTTTATGGTCTGAGATTGCCCCTATTTCAGTTTTCAGTCTTTAGTCCTCCAGAATTGTCACAGGAACAAGAAAGGACTCAAAGCATGCAATCAGCTGGGCCTTTTAAGTAAAATGATTTTCATGGTTGCAAAATAAACAAACAAATGTTGCATCTTGCTATGTTCTTTGTATTTAGAATTGTGTCACAAAGCAGCCTTTGATGCAGCAGGCACTTTGGTGCCTGAGTACTAGAAACAACTGCTAGGTCACTCCACAAAACGTCCACCCAATCTCCTTTAAGCAAGGACCTTGCCACAGAAAAGTAAGCAAGTTAATGTATTCATTATCAAACCACCATTCTGTTACAGGTATGATGTGGTAAGCAGTGACAGTAGCTGTACAGATACTTGTAAGGGGAAATCTTTTGCCAGATTTTGATTTAAACCAAACACAAAAAAATAAGAGAAAAAAAACAAAAACAAAAACAAAACACCAGAATTCTAATTGTAATTCTTTAGCTTTTACAGCAGTTATATTAAAAAGTACAATTATGCCAAACAAGGAGCAATAGAAGAGGAGAAACAGGGACGTGGCAGTATGTCTGAAGTATCTATCTTGTTCAAATCAGGTTAAACAAACTGTAATGTTTACTACACAGGTACACTGTGTGTATGTTGTGGTGTATATGTAGAAGGGCTGAACACAGGCACACATATATATTGGCAAGCATAAATTAAATTTGCAGTGAGAAGCGCTGGAAAGCTGATGAATTTGGAATTTGATTACTCAAATAGGAATTAAAAGGCTGCAGACACTAAGTCTGAAAGTACTGAGCCAAAAAGACACCCAGAAAGTACTCATCTTTGAGACCAAGTCTGAAGAAAGAAGTTACGCTCCTTCTGTTCTAAAGTATCAGTAAATCCTTATGCAGCACACTGTAATACAATAACCATAACAGTGTCTTCATTGTAAGGCACCCAAGAGGAAGAAGTACATTATGATGGAAGGAAAATCCAGAAATCCTAGTACTAACAGCTTTGTGAAAAGAAGATAAATGCTCATTTGTCAGCTTATTTACATTTTATGATTTGTTTAATCTTAGAATTAATGACACCCTACACTGTTAGTTTGTTCCAGGAAATAAAATCCAGGTCTGGAAGAAAAAAAACAACAACATGATAGTTATGTAAGGAGCAAAGCAGAACCTTACAGCTCAAATGCTGGTACAAAATTTGTGATGTAAGCAGAAAACTTGTTCAGGCCCATTCCCAACACAGCTTTTTTTCTGTTATCCTAATTTTCAGGAAAGATACTGTCACTCACACATAGATTTGAGTTTGTCTTATTTTCTCAAATCTGAACATCAACAAAGATGAGCAGAGTAGCCTCTTGCAATGCCATCTGATATCAATAGTCAACAATATATCGTAGACCATAAAAAAAAAGCAACACCATTGATCACCAGATTATTAAACAACACATTGGAAAGCTAGTTCAGAAACTCCATGAGGTTCTTAGTGCTTTGTCACTGCAGAGAATGGTACAGACATTTTCAGAATTAAGCATTTAAAAATAAATTTCTTCAGCAAAAATATAAGTAATCTCCTAATTATTCTCTGAAGCAATCATTAACTGTCCTCAAGGACACAACCCAAACATTTGCATTTGCTTGTTTTTCATACATAAATCATTATCAGTAGAGGTAGTAGTGGCAAACAGCATCAGTGTTCTAAAAGGTCACGTTACAGGACAATTTGTTCAAGACAAATTTCCCCCCCTCATGCACTCAGAGATTATCCTCTAAAAGATCTGAAAAGTTTACCTCATCTTGACAAACCATGCTGAAAATTCACATCTTTCAATTACTGTGCTCAACTGAATTGCAAATGGAGGGTTTTTGCAAGTATTTTAGACATTTAGATTTTAGGGAAATCAGTATGTCTGGTCAGCAGTGAGATAATGGGCCCTCACAGGTAGCATCTGAAGGCAAAAGTACAGTCAGTGCGAACAACCATATTTTACAGTGCTGGGAATCTTGCTTGAATTTTCTAGAAAAGTATTTTTAAAAATCTGAACTTGAATTAAAGTCACTATTATCATCTTCACACAATGCTGACTTCTTACCGTCCCCAGGAACTGACGAAAGCAGTTAGGTCGTGAAACTCGAGCACATGAACTTAACCACTTACCATCTTCTTGACTGTCATAATGGAGACAGACCTCTGCTACTGATGACTGTTTTTAGTTTTTCACTCTCTCCTTTTGAATGTGCTTCACTTCCCAGCTTTATATGTCGTGTATTGGTAGTTCTGAGCATTCTGTGTATCGAGAATGCTTGCTCTTCCTAAAAGCCTTGTGTAGCATCCAGGCTACCCACAAAGCAAAGTGTGGAAGGAAGAGCAGCAGAAATTACAAGCCACATGAAGCATCTTTCTGCCCTTGGCATTTCTACAGTCGTGATCTCAAGCTATCACTGTCTTTGAGTTGGATCTCAAGAAACTGATTAAAATCAGGAAATTTGGAGTTACCAATAGATGGGACAATACCAAATGCATTCTGAGAGGTAGGTTCATTTGTTCCCACAGCTGTACCAATATTTAAGTCAGGAGCCACATAAGTCTTTCCACTCACAGTCACCAAAACTGACTGCATGAGATGAAGTACCAAGACTCCATTTGAGTTACGAAGGTCCATTTCAGTACAACAAGTAACATGCTCAGAATAAAGAACTGCCTGTTACTTTTATCATGTATGAAAATTGTACAAGCAAATATGAAATCATAAAATGTATATTTGTCCTAAAATCAGATAAGAAACTTACGAGGTGAAGAAGTACAAATCTGTCCAGCTCCCATGGGTCCTACGTTAATTCTAAAGTATATACAACTGCAGCTGTGATGGACAAATGCTGATATAATATCAAGACTGTAAACTGATGGGCATGGGAGACACCGCCAAGTGTCTACTCTCTTGTAGAGTGCTCTGCTACACTCAGGGCTTACCAGTGGCAGTTGTGGTTTTTGACCACTCTAGTTCTACAAGGAAATTCCTGACCACCACTACCACTTGGATTGCTTTCCTGAGGAGGCCCATGTACCATGCTGATGCATAACATCTACTTACAGGAATCAGTGTGCTGCAAGTAAAGGGAACATCCTCTTTCATCTCTGGGGATTATTCACTCAAGAGCCACAGCACAAGAGTTCCAGTCATTCCCCCAAATGCTGTGGCATGTCCCTGGCCACATTGGAAAATAAGGGTCCTTCTCTCTCCCAGACCTAGGATAGCACTTACACTCATGTATTGAAACAAACAACATCAAAGCATCTGATTTGCTACCACTTAAAGCAGAATTTATTTATTTTTTAATTTACTTGGTTTAAGTTTACCTGTTGTCTTTTATCTGAGGATGACAAACCATTTTTGAAGTAAGAAAAATAGTAAGAAAAATAAGTCGTTTTGACGTCCATCTTAAGTGAATCAGGTCTGAACTGCTGACTTGCTGTCTGGCATCAAAGTTGCTGAAGATCTTAAAGGATGAGATATATACAAAGACTGCTGATGGTCCTTTGTATTCTTTTTTTTTTTTTTTTTGTATGTTCCTTAAAAGTACACATATCTTCTAAATGATTCCCTGTTAGTTAAAAACCCCATTATAAATTGTGGAATATCCCAAAATAGCCTTTTAAAAGCAGGACTGGGATGGACTGAAAAGTAGAAGAAATCCATGAGAATATGATAAAGTATATAATTGACTGATGGAATGTCCCAAGTTGGAAGGGACTTACAAGGATCACTGAGTCCAATTCCTAGCTCCACGCAGGACCAACCAAAAATCAGACCATGTGTCTGAGAGCACTGTCCAAACATTTCTTGAACTCTTGAAGCTTGTGCCCATGGTCACTGTCCTGGGAAACCTATTCCAGTGCCTGACAACCTTCTCAGTGAAGAACTTTTTTCTGATATCCAACCTGAACTTCCCTTGTTACAACTTCATCCCTTTCCCTCTGGTTCTACCGCTGATCACCAGAAAGACATCAGCGTCTGCCCCTCTGGTCCCCTCATGAGGAAGTTGTAGGCTGTGATGAGGTCTTCCCTCAGTCTCTTTTTCTCTGGCCTGAATAAATCAAGGGACTTCAGCTGTTCCTCATGTCTTCCCCTCCAGACTCTACAGCATTTTTGTAGTCCTTCTTTGGGCAGATTCTAATAGTTTTATATCCTTTTATCAATTGGATCTTAAGAAAATGATCAATTTATAGCACTATTATGGTAGTTCCAATCTTTAGCTTTATACATGGATAAAAGGCACATATGTAAACACTTAAAGAAAATACTGAAAAACAGACAATCTTTATTTTGTGACATCATAGCTACTAATACAGTTGTATAAATATCCAACATATGCCAAAACAAACTAGTTGGTGCTATAAACAATAAACTACCTGACCTACTGTAATGGCAGATTTAATAGCTTGCTGTTGGTTGGCAGGTTACTGAGGAAGGTATGACATCAACTTCTCCAAGAGGAAGGAGAGAGAGGAAATCAATTAGATGGCATGTGGTGTAATTAGGTGGACAGAATAATATTTGTTCTCATCAAGATTGCTGTGTGCAAGCCATGGAAGGCTACAGAATCACAGAATCACCAAGGTTAGAAAAGACCTACAAGATTATCCAGTCCAGCCATCCACCTGTCATCAATATTTCCTTCTAAACAAAGTCCCTCAGTACAACATCTAAATGTTTCTTGAACACCTCCAGGGTCAGTGACTCTACCACCTCTCTGGACAGCCCACTCCAGTAGCTGTCCACTCTTTCAGAGAAGTATTTCCCAATGTCCAACCAGAATCTCCCCTGGAACAACTTGAGGCAATTCCCTCTAGTCCTATCTCTAGTTGTTTGAGAGAAGAGGCCCTCAGCAGCCCCTCATAACACTTGTGATGCAGACCCCTCACCAGCTTCATCGCCCTTCTCTGAACACACTCCAGGGCCTCAATGTCTTTCTTGCAGTGAGGGCCCCAAAACTGAACATAGTACTCAAGGTGAAGCCTCACCGGTGCTGAGTACAGAGATGATCACTTCTGTGCTCCTTCTGGCAACACTATTTCTGATACAAGCCATGATGCCATTGGCCTTCTTGGCCACCTGGACACACTGCTGGCTCATGTTCAGTTCAGCATTGATCAATAACTCCAGGTCCATTTCCTCTACACAGTCTTCCAGCTGCTCTGCCCAAGCCTGCAGAGTTGCCTGGGGTTGTTGTGGCCAAAGTACAGGACCCAGCACTTGGTCTTGTTGAACTTCATCCCAGTGGCCTCAGCCCAGCTATTCAGTCTGCCCAGATCCCTCTGTAGGGCCTTCCTACCCCCAGGTAGATTGATACTTCCCCCCAACTTGGTGTCATCTGCAAACTTACTGAGTGTGCACCCCATGTCCTCACTGGTAATCAATAAAGATATTAAACAGGACAGGTCCCCACACTGACCTCTGGGTAACACCGCTTGTGACCAGTCACCAGCTAGATTTACCTCTATTCACCAACTCTCTTTGGGCCCACCATCCAGCCAGTTCTTTACCCAGCAGGTTCTTTACTCCTATCACCTAGATCTACTTCAGATGTTCTACAGCTGCAATGATACAGTATGACAGAGGCACGGATAGACACAGAGATTATATACTCATCAGTATAGCATGCAGAATGCTCACCTTGTTGAGGACATCCCGCTGACACCCCAGATAGAGATGAGGCAGAATCCTGGTTGGACCAATGTTAGAGACTGGTAGACAGGGTTGAGAAATGCAAGTAGGGACAAGCGTGGATTTTCCTTCACAGAGACCAGGGAAACAGCTGGAGAATTCAGCAAATCCACCTATGAGAGGCAAAGTATGTATATTATTTACATGCATCAGTGCCCATACCAATTCTCAAAAAGCAGTAGTTTTTGTATGAGATTGAGAGGCACAAAGGGCCAGCAGCCTTCACAGAGGAACTTGTACAGCTGTATGCAAACCTTGTCCATAGGTACCATGAGTGTGCACAACCATTCATTAGAATGCAAGGCTTGGCTTTGTATTCCAACACTGATTAAAAAGTTTATTTATTTCTCTCTTCATTATCAGACTTTTTGATGCTTCTTCCCTCTTGAAAAGGTTTGTAGAACTGAGAGTTTTAAAAGAAAACAAAACCCCACAACACCTGCAACACAAGAAGCACACACACTTTCGCCTTTCTGCCCCAGCAAACTGTTTTCTGAAGAACTTTTTCTCTTTTATTATGTCTATAACTAGACTACACATAGGAGAAATTGTGTTTACTCTATTGGTAAAAGCACCAACATGTAGAATTAACATTTGCTTTTAGAATTCTGCACAATTATTTTCTATGCTGATTAAAAATTAATATATCCAACACACTGCAAGGAACTTCATGCTTAAAAACCAAACCAAGCCAAGGCTTCTCTGTCTCATGAGTGGGAGTTGAACAGGAGGAGACTACAGGGGAAGATGGACTTCCCTGGCAAAACAAAAGTCTCTGCATTCTTCTGACTGCTAGATGGTTCTTCATTTGCACTAGTTAAGGTATTAGGCCCTATCCATACAACAACTCCATGACGTTTTCATTATCATTTCTCACCACTCAGGAAAACTACAGTGGAATGACCGATAACACATTTAAACCCTGTGATGACAATGGCTTTCAGGTGGCAGAATGGCACCATTGGTGCGAAACATGTTCAACTTAGAAAAGAGGAGACTAAGGGGAGACCTCACAGCAGCCTGCAGCTTCCTCATGAGGATCTCTTCTCTGTAATCCTCCTGGTAGCTATGCTAAGGCATACAAAAGAGAGAGAGATGTAATGAGATAACCAGCATGGCTTCAACAAGGGCAGGTCCTGCCTGACCAACCTTGTTGCTTTCTATGATGGCATAACTGTGTCAGTGGACAAGGGATAAGCCACTTTAGTAAGGCTTTCAACACAATCCCAGTAAAATCATTCTCTCCAAACTGAATAGGTGGACTGTTCAAAGGATGAGGAACTGGTTTCAAAATTTTACCTAGAGAGTGGTGTCAATGGCTCAGTGTCCAAGTGGAGATGAGTGACAAGCGTTATCCCTCAGAGGTCAGTACTGGGACCAGTGCTCTTTAACATCTTCATCAATGACAACAACAGTGGGATTGAGTGTATCCTCAGCAAGTTTGCAGATGATTCTAAGCTGTGTGGTGCAGTTGACATACCCAAGGAACAAGATGGCATTCAGAGACTTAAACTGCTCAAGGAGTGGATCCTGGAGGACCTCATGAGGTTCAACAAAGCCAAGCACAAGGTCTTGTACCTTGATCACAGCAACTCCCACTATCAGTACAAGCTGGGGGATGTAGGGATGGAGCACAGCCCTGCTGAAAAGGACTTGGGGGTTCTGGTGGAATGAAAGCTGGACATGAGCCAGCCCTTGCAGCTCAGAACACCAACCATATCCCAGGCTACATCAAAAGAAGTGTAGTCTGCAGGTTGATGGAGGGGATCCTACTCCTCTACTCTGTGCTAGTGAGACCTCACCTGGAGTACTGCATCCAGATTTGGAGTCCTTAGTACAGGAGAGACATGGACTTGTTAAAGCACATCCAGAGGAGGGCCATAAAAATGATCCAAGGATGGAACACCTCTCCTGTGAGAAGGCTGAAAGAGCTGGGGCTGTTCAGCCTGGAGAAGAGAAGGCTCCAGGGAGACCCGATAGTGGCCTTTTAGTATCTAAAGGAGAGGCTACAAGAAAGAAGGGGACAGACTCTTTAGCAGGGTCTGTGGTAATAGGACAAGGGAATACACTTTCAAACTGAAAGAAGGGAGATTTAGACTGGATATAAAAAAGAAGTGTCTTAGAATAAAGGTGTGGAGGCACTGGAACAGGTTTCCCAGAGAAGCGGTGGAAGCCCCATCCTTGGAGACAGTAAAGGTCAGGCTGGACAAGGCTCCAAGCACCTGATGCAGCTGTAGAAGTTCCTGTTCATTGCAGGGGAGTTGGACTAGATCATCCTGAAAGGTCTCTTCCAACTCAAAAGATTCTGTGACAATGACAGGTCCTAATGGAATGGCTGCGTCAGGTAGGGCCTGGTTTTGGATTAGGAAAAGGTTCTTCTCCAGAAGGTGGTCAGGCCGTGGAACAGGCTCCCTAGGGCAGTGGTCACTGCCCCAAGCTAAGGGAGTTCAAGAAGCATTTGGACAGTGCTCTCAGGCATAGGGTTTGAATTTTGGGTGCTCATGTGTGGAGCCAGGAGTTGGAGTCAGCGATCCTTCTTGGTCCCTTCCAGCTCAGCATGTTCTATGGTTCTATGACTCTAAAAAGCAAGGCTGAGCCTACTGCAGACACAAATATATAACACACAGCTGAAATACATATAAATATATAACACACAGCTCAAGTTCTGCTTCTCTTTCTAGTTTTGCCAGGCCCCTGTTTCCTTTCCATGGCAAAAACTATATTATTCATCTGTGTTACCAACTGGGCTTCAACCAGCCCTACTCACAGCTGAAGAACAAAACCAGAATGAGACTTCCAGCAACCAACCTAGGCTTTGACTAAACATTTTCTCTCAAAAATGTGGCTGGCTTTTTACAAACCAGCTGAACGTAAAGTTCAGATCATTCCTATACATAATTTAATCTAAAGAACTGCAGGCAGCTGTTTCAGCTCAGCAGTTACAGGCTTTTTTTGTCAGTTTTCACCATGTAATAGCCGATCGGTAAGGATGAGGCACAAATGCAAGTCAAAGTTCCTAGCTACTTTCTCTGATTAAAAGCATAGAGACAAGTGGAATTCTAAGTGAAGGAAGAGTAATTAAGTGTAGAACAAGACACACTTTTATCATCAAGGAAGTGAAGTATTAATGTGCTAAATCCAGCAAATGCTGTGTTCTGTATTATTACAGTTTAAAGACATGAATTACAATGATTCAGCAATAAGATAATGCACTGTTCTGTCGAGGCTTGCATTACCATTGCCTGATTTTTTTTCTATTCTTTGGATTTTAAATTCTGTCTTTAGTAAATGTAGGAAAAAAACAATGTAATAGGCATGTGTGTAACAGCCCATTTTATCTGTTAAACAAAGAAACCAGTAAGCAGTTTTCAGAACAAAAGCTTTTTGAGCAGCAATTCCAGTCTCCTGACTGAAAAAAATCACTTGCCTACACTGTTAGATAAGCGGTTTTAGACAACTAGGACAATGCTCATCTTTGGGATCATCCTAAGACAAAATAGCTGTAATTAACTATACAAAGTTTTCTTTTTATCTTTTTAAAATCTATCTGCATGTCATAATCATATAGATTCCTTTTTACTGTACAATCTGTTAGGAAGAAGAAAAGCAAAAACAGTACATTTACTGTATAATTATTGAACCTACAATCATTTTACAAATTCTGATTTAACTACTGCACGTTTTAAGTCATTTAAATCCTATTCAAGTCAACCACCGTGAACAGCTTTGGTAAAGCAGCAGGCATTTCGGAATACGCAGGATCTACCTGGGTCACATGAAGGGAGACTGGAAATCCTGCTAAAAACAGTAATAGAAGTATTTACTTATTTTAAAAAGCAAACAGGAAGTTTCACAGAACTGAAAAGACTTGGGAGAGACCAGCATTTACAGCAGAGGGAGTTTTTTTTTAATTAGAGAGACCAACTGTTGCCAAGGCAGTAACAGATTTAAGAAGGAATAGGGACAAAATAAGTACAGAAATTATTTTTTTCTTCTTGCTCAGTATGTTCCTTAGATGAACCTCATGTGTGGAGCAAACACCTCTGTGCACAGGCAACCACCAGCATACCATAAGGCTGCACCTCAGGGAAGGTGTTCTGCAAAGTTGTTAAGACACTGTGTTGAAGGACATGGTTTAGTGACAACTATTGGTGATAGATAGACAGTTGGAATGGATGACCTTGTAGGTCTTTTCCAACCTTAGTGATTCTGTGATTCTGAAGTCCCAAGGATGACCAATGCTGCATTTTAGGAGCTGAACTGTGAGCTGTTTTTTCATGCCAGAAAAGAGAGAGCCCCACACTCTACGGAGCAAAGAAAATGACAGGTCCAGGACCTAGTTAGATAAAAGAAAGCTCAAAAGCACAGGTCCAAGTACAGCAATATGAAGTTTCAAAGGCCAGTAAGTGAATGCAACAGCTGTACCATCTTCCATTCCTGGCTGTAATCCACAAACAGTACTTCTGTGATCTGATGTTATAAACATTAGCCTGTTAAAAAATATACATGTATATCCTTTCTCCACCCTATCATTTTTAACGTTGTGTGTTTATTTCTTGCTGAAGTAGTTTCTGCCAGGTTAATGACTTAAATGGGCTTACAGGGAAGTTTCACAATCCAGTGCCAGGTGGGAAGGAGAAACTCCCAGTTGGGAAATGGATCAGGCAACGTGAGATAAGGTTGGACTTCGGCATGGGCTGGGTGCACTGGAGGATACCAGCCCAAGGCACTGCCTACCACAAACCATCACCATAAACTGAAACAAATATGCTAAGGACACTGTAAAAGTTCGGCTCCGACATTTTTAATTCTTGTTAGTAGGCCTCCTCCTTATTTTACAACCTTTCTGTTCAGGAGCACGGACACTGCTTGTTTAATGTATCAATCACATGACAAAAAGTTTCCAAAACTTGCAAATTCTTCTGTGTATAGCATAATAATTTCCCTCTGCTGCAGGAAGCAATCCTTGAATTTTTTAGCCACTACGTGTCTTCTAGATAAATTTTAAGGAAGATACGGTGGCAGAGCCCAGCAACTCCTAGAAGGGCTTGGGTTGAATCCTTTGAAGAAAGGAAAGAAATAAAGCAAGGGAAAAGAAAAAAATCAATCTTTG